GAGTAGGCTGGGAATTACATGGTACCCACCACCACGGTGGCTAATTTTTTGTATTTTTAGTAGAGACGGGGTTTCACCGGTTAGCCAGGCTGGTCTCGAACTCCTGACTCCAGGGTGTTCACCCACGTGCCTCCGCAAGTGCTGGGATTATAGGGATGTAGTCACGCGCTGGTCTGGAAAAATGATTTCTTTCACGATGCAATAGACATTTCATTATCTTGGCACTTCAGCGTCTGACAGCAAAGGTTTCCCTCTCTCCCTTTTCGGAAGATAGCCTTCTTCACACATTTTTTTTGTCCAGAGACAGAGTCTCTACCCTAACTATTCAGTGGGGCAGCCGCGACTGTGGGCCATCCCCACCCCGTCCTTGTCCTCGTTTTTCGGTGGAATCAAGTGTAGATCTGGAAGCGTTGTGGTTTACCTGTCACTGTTTGTAGAATGGATAATGCCATGATACATTCGGAGGAGAGAGAATCTTGAATGACCTCCACGTAAGTAGAACTTCCAGGCGGAACCAACTTATTCCTACGTGGACTACAGCCCACATCAGTCCCGAGAAGCAGGCTCATGATGAGCCACGGGACAAGTGTTCCTGGCGTGATGACAAATAAATGACAAATCAGCCGAGCCGCCGTGCTCCATGGCCGTAATCCCCAGCACTTTGGGAGGCCCAGGAGAGGTGGGAATCACAAGGCTCAGAAGATCGAGACCAGTTAGCTAGAGATGGTGAAAACCCCGTTTATAAGATACAAAAAATTTAAGCTCAAGCACGGTGGGATGTGCCTAGTAATCCAGCTAATCAGCAGGCTGAGGCAAGGAAATCAAGTTGAAACCCTGGAAGGCGGAGGTTGCAGTGAGTCGATGATCGCACCATTGCACCCCAGGCCTGGGAACAGAGCAAGACTTCCATCTCAGGAAAAAAAAAAAAAAAAAAAAAAAGCACTCTTTCAATCTCCACCTGTTAAGTGGACCAGTTGTGATCTAGGATGGGTTTCACCATGTTGGCCAAGCTGGGCTCCAATTTCTGAGCTCAGGTGATCTGCCCGCCTCAGCCTCCCAAAGTGATGGGATTATGGGCGTGAACCACCGTACCGCACCTGGCCAACAAAATGGATTATTATAACCAGAAGGACTTTATTTGAATCGTAGGCCTTACTCTTAGAATCTATAATGCTTTGTTTTCTGTATTTCATAAACCTTGGTTATCTAATAAGAAGACATATAACTGTGGAAATAACTAAAATAAGTTCATTGTGTGATCTGAAAGAAAAATCCCAGGAAGGTATGGGATCATGTATCTGAGGTAGCCAACCAAACTTGTTACAAAGGGCTTCATAATAGAAATGAAATTTATTCCAGCTTGGCCAACGTGGTGAAACCCCATCTGTACCAAAGACACAAAAATTAGCCAGATGGTGTGGTGCATGCCTGTAATCCCAGCCACTTGGGAGGCTGAGGCATGAGAATCACTTGAACCTGAGAGGCGGAGATTGCAACGAACTGAGATTGCGCTGCTGCACTCCAGCCTGGGTGACAGAGCACGACTCTGTGTAAAAAAAAAAAAAAAAAAAAAAAGCGCTCGGTCGCTGCGTGGCTCAAACCTGCCTGTAAATCCAGCACTTTGGGAGGCTGAGGGTGCGGCAGATTGCGCAAACTGGCTCAGAGTTCAAGAACCAGCCTGGGAACACCA